CTTCAAATGCTTTTGTATAAGTTATAAAGGGACAGATATATTGATCCATGCTGTTGAAACCATTATTTAAATAAAGACCATTTTCTTATCTACAAATAATCTGGTTTACAATGTAATGCTCTTCCTATTTAGCATTGTAATGTAAACAAGAACTATACAATACACATAGCCAGTCGCACAGGACCGGCGTAGCTATAATACAGTTTACTGCGACGTTTTATCTTTTAAATAAAAGGATATAGAAGGTGTGTAGGCTCCAGAAATGAACTGAAATTATTAAACGATAGAATAAAATTAAATTGGGAGGCAAGATCCTATTCTTATTCACAGGGTTAATACATGTAATGTCGGACCTACACAAATATAGTAGATCTATTCAATTAATCACATATCTAAAATAAGTGATGTTCAATGTTAATGTAAGAACTATATATTTTTAGAAGAGAGCGAACACGAGTATTATATAGTTAAAATAATTTCTTCAGGGCATTTTAGATGCTATCACCTGAACGTAGAGCTGAATGTGAAGTCATCTTTTATGAAAAAAACAAAATGTAAACAAACTAGTAATTTGAATTCCATACAACAAACCAAACCACTATACCTCTAGTTATGCAACAGAAGTCCAAAATTGTTCAGGTATAATTGTATATGGCCAATGAGTAACTTTTTCGAAACAATATCAGAACACCAAAAATAAAAATACTTAAATCTTAGGCATAATATAAAAATTCGTTCCCATTCACGTGTCTTGTAAGATAGTGCATTTTATTCCAGTATCTCAAAAAATATTGACTTGTACCTATTTTTAGTTCACTTGACTCAAACATTTTTTTATACGAGTACATAATGTAAAAGAATTTAATAATGTGCGTGTACATATGCTATATGCTATTTTTCTTTCGTACGTTATCATAACTTAGATCAAAACCAATGCACTTTACATCATTAACATGATTTCAGCCTTATGGAAATTTTTACGACGCGGTCCGTTGCTATGCAAAATCGGCCGGAAGTATTATTTTCTCGCGCATGCTCAACCTGCGAAGGGCAAAAAGATCACCCCCACATAAAAATGTAGCAGAGATTCATGGACAGTTTTGAGTAAGTTTCATGTAAAAGGTAGAAAATCATATAAAACAGCTTAAACACAAAACATGCTTTAATAGCTTTGTGACCAAGATTGCCATAAAAAGGCATAGCAAAGACGATTGTTTAAGAATTCTTCCTTATCACTGACCTGACTTTTAGATAATTGTAAAAAATGTGTCAATATATGTATTAGCTATTAAAGAAGTTAGCTTAATATCATTGTTGTTGAAATAGTTCATATAAAATCTAAATAAATCTTATAACTTAAGTACGTAAAGTTATCCCAAAATCAGGTCTTTCGTTATTGCGTTTTTGCCTTGCGCATGCTTGAAATGCAACATCCGTTACTATGGGAAAATGGTATTGTAAAAGGGTATATAAAAATAGCCTTCTGGTGGTGACTCAATCTTCCAATGATATACCAGTGCAGACCAAGATCTGCTAAAGTCATCCATCTGCTCTTTGTCTACACTGTTCTCTATTTCAGCCATTACAAAGCTTCTACATTAATCAGCCGTTTTCGTCAACAGTAGTGTTTTATTGTTTATTTGAAAGGTCACAAACTAAAGCGGGGGAAAATAATCCAGCTTTCCTCCACCCCATAAACACTAATTACACACACACAAAAATAAAACAATAACAAGCTTGGCCTATACTTACTTTTTAAAACTGTGAACAAGCATTTAAAAGCTTATATACCATTGAACAAATGACAAATCTTGTTGACATTTAATTGACGATGCGTCGTGGTGATCAGCGGCATGCCTTTATCGCTTATAGTTTTCTATTAAGTTGCTTTTTTTAAATTCGAAAATGTAATTAATCAACCCAGCTATCTTCCTCATTATTATCACTTTGTTTCTTGGTTTTCTTTCCATTATCCCAGTATGCCTTTAATGCTTTTTTTTTAAAATGATGCTGTATATATTTTGATAAGACTATAAAAGACAATACTTATGACATTATATTCCATTAACTTTTACAAGAAAGGAAATCATTCGGTACATTTTAGCTTCATTTCTGGTTATAAATAGGAAGACATTTATATTTTAATATTGTCTCAAAAATTTATACGATATCCGATTTACTGATTCGAAAAAGAATTTTGCAAAATGTTCAATTTCGAGATTTTGTTCAGAAAAAAGGTACGAAAGAGGTAACGGTGCTACTTAGACATAATTGTTACAAGTTTCTTATATATATTCCAAAAGTTGAAATCTTTTTTTTCATTTTGGTTACATACGCACATAAGGCGCATTTTATCGTATTATTTAATAGTTAATAGTATTATATTCAATATATTCGTTATAGGGGAACACATGAAGATTTAGCTTTATTCAAACAAGAATAATAATAATAATAATAATAATCATAATAACAATGATAAGAAACAACAACACTCATAATAAAACATTAAAAGCAAGATCAGCAAGAAAGGGAGGCACAAATGCAATTGGAGAAATCTAAGGGAAATAAGGAGATACTTATATCATAGATATACATCTAAGGAACACAGGAATAAGACAATTTAAATTTCAACATCACGTAATTTGATCGATGTCACATTAATTTGTGTGATAAACATCCTTTTTAGATAAAAAAAAAATGACAAAATATTTAATTTTCATCTTCTTATTATTCATCCATAATATAAAAATTACATATATCTTCCAGTGATAGTAATATTGTATATTAACAATCTGTGAGTGTTTCATTAAAAAAAACCTTCTTTTTCATAATTTATTGATCGGCCAAAATGATGAATGATTATTTTGCAAAAGCCGTTGAGGAATAAAAAGAATTGCACTATTGTTATAACAAAAATGTCTCTTTCATGTAATTTGTGCGGTGTTTGAATATATTCATATCGAAATTTTGAATAGATCATTCCATATTTAAGTTTGTAATTATAAAGTGATTTCAGGGTCACTGAATATTTAAATAACGTATAGCTCGAATTTTGTATTTCTTTCATAATCCGTATAAATCAATATTGACATATAAGAGTGTCGACAATCCTCGTGTAAAGCATAAGATCTATCGCCACCCCATTTATCATTATAATAACTCAAAGGTAGAGTGTTAACTTCGTGAGTTAAATTACCCTGGTTCGAATCTAAGAAAAGCTTTTTTAATTTTATTGTATTTTTAGTTTAAGATATTTTTTAACTAACTGAAATTTAGTTCCTTCAATATCGTACACACAAGTTTGATAAGTATTTGAAAACACTATTTCTTAAACAGTTTGTTGCATTTAACAGTGTTAAACTTCAAATCAATGCACTCAGTAACTGAGATGCTAAAAGTACTGAAAAATAAGCTATGGAAGAAAATAGATGTACACAAAGTTGCCAAAATCATAACGGTATAACCGAATAATGAAACCATTATCGCGTTCGTCTTTAACATGTATGTATTCACAATAGCATTATAATTGTATAGGTGATTTGTTTCTGTTTTAAATTAACGATTTTGGGTCTTTTCCAAAGTATGTCAATAAACAGCGATTGTAATACCTGTAGGCGATCATTGGAATACCTGTAGAGCGTAACCTTTTATATTAATTGAGACATACTTGCTTATGTTTGAGGTCATTATATATCAGATTCTATTATATTAATCATTGTGCCATTTAACTTTACCCATTCTGTCAAGATACGTATTCACAAAGAATAACTTGATACTTACTTTAAATCTTTCGTAAATAACAAAGTTTTCTTCATTTCAAAGATAAGCTCGCTATTGTTTAGCAATATTGGCATTTGTAATATCCAATAACCTTATGAATAGTTTATATAAACCATGAATTGACATGCTTAGAAATAAAAGAACTTTTCGTCTAAGGCATTTATAAATAATTATATATTTTGATTTTTAGAAGAAATTACTTCAACATTGGTTTTCAAAAGCTCAAGCCTATTAATTGCTCAGTCTTTAACTAAATGCGCGTACAAATATTGCATTTTCGATTGCATCCCCTCTCATGATTACAAAACATATCTATACTATTAACGAAACCTAATCACAATTTCCATACATTTTCGTTTATCTCAAGTAATCTTATTCATAACGCTACTTGCTATTCAGTTAAGCTTTTTTTGAAAACCTTTTTTTTGCGCTATTTATAAACTGTTTGTCACTATGCAAATATTTTATTTTTTTACATTGAAATTTGAATTATATAGATGTTTTTTGTTGTGTTTTGTCTACTTTATTTTTGTGCATGACAAAACACTTTTTTTATAAAAATATCATGAAAAAAATCATAATTATGTTAATGTACAAGTGTACAAAAATGTTATGAAATATAAAAAACATATTGAAATAAACAAATGACTTATTTACCAGCTGCGTAGGACTAAAAAGTAGCTAAATTTTAAGAAAAATAGTTAGTCAATGGTTTGAACTCGGGCCATAATTATGCTTAGACATGCTATCATTTTATTTCTCAAAGAATATTTTTTTTTCAAATTTTACAAAAATACTTATTTGACATGGATAGATTAAATATCTTTTGTTTATTAGGACGGCCATTGTTGTAATTATATAGCAAATACGGATTTTGTATATAAGTCAAAATGTCACTGTATTTAGATTTTGCTACCTTAACGACACATAACTTCATGTATAGGACTGCTTTCCTTACTTGTTAATCTAAATTCATTAATCAAACATTTTAAGTACATGTTTGACTTTTTTTCTAAATCAATTTTAAATGAAGAAACAATGGGTAGTACGTAATAATTTACGGAAACTAACGAAAATCCTCCCGAAAATTAATTAGCCAATAAGCCAATAGATAAGAGTATCGTATTTATAAGGCGAAGGTTATACATTTATCTTTATGAGGTATGCAGCTAAAAATAAACGTCCGGGCTACTATCGAGCTTATAAATTAAAAGTCCCGGGCAAAATATTTCATTTAGGATAATGTTGTCTGTGCGGGCTGCATAAAAAGTAAAGGGATATACTTTAAACTGCGGCATTCCATATCTTTTTTTTCTTTAAAGAATAGTTAGACATGGGGCCAAGTTTTAAGATAATTACCCTTTGCATGTTGTGCCTTGTTTTGCTAGTCTTAATTATTGTTTTGGCACTTGTGTGGTCTATGCCGGACTTACCTCCAACTGTGTCAAATAATAAAATTTGTTTACCTGCTGAAAAGGGACGTTTAGTTTGCAATGATACACCACAGAGACTGCATGGTTACTTAAACAGGGTAAGTCGAGAGATGTTTAGGTACGTTTAGTTAAAGTTTAAAACGGTTGATATCAAATAAAAAACTGCTGCAATTGATTTTTTTTATCTTTTGAAGCTGCACAAAATAAGGTTCTGCGCATTAATTGCAGAGTTTGAAGCGTGCACGCAATGTCATTTTATATTTCCATTTTATTAAGTGTTGAATAAAAAAATGAAAGTATTGTAGTGTATGCACGTTATTTACATTAACTCTCATCAAGCAAACCAAGACGACACATTATCGATAAAAGCATTACAAATGTAATTTGACATAGAAACTATACAGATGTCTCATACTTGAATGTTGTCTCTCTTCTCTACCTTGAATATTTATCTTTCAAAAGAATATGAGAGAATTTGCATAAAAAGCAAAAACACGGTACAGGTGTTTGTAATTCGTCAGTGAATTTGGCCATGTTGACATCCTGTATCGAATCTACGGAAGCCAACATGTGCCACATTCGCGTTTACGGTTTTACCATATAGTCGTAAAATGCATCAATTAGTATGCATTAATTTTACATTTTTAAGCCAGAAAAATGTACATTAGATATTGTTTTAAGTTATCTATATTTGCAATTGCATCTGTATATGCATTGCAGATTAAAATTCAAAAGAAAACACGTTTAATAGCTCTGCTGGGGTATAGTCGTATAAGTAAAAAATGTCGTCTTGAATTACAAAACCTTAACATTTGTTCTAAATTTAGAACATTACCTTACAATACTTTATTGCACAACAATAAAGGTGTACAAATACTACCTGTTTGTTTTGTACGCTATCATAATTTGAATCTGACTTTATAGTTGAAAGTTTATAAACTGTTAAAATGTGTTAAACTAGTTGAATGGGTTTAATCCTTAACTTAAACCGATTTTAATGCTTCCGTGGGATCACACTTTTTCAGATTTTTAAATGAGTTTAACAAATCATTATTGACATGTAACATATACAATAATGATTTGTATCTATATATAGCTACCGAGTAGTATTGTTAGCAATTCGAGAAATGCAAACACATTTTTCAATACAATACAAGAAAGACATTTGCGACAAGAAATGATTCATTAACATTTAAAATGTTGTTAGTAACATACACAAACATGATTTATATCTATACATTATGTTTTAAGTTATTTACATTTACAATAATATAATGGCACATTAATTTTCAAATCAAATAAAAGCGTTGAACAATATACAAAATGACAAAACACATTTCCCTACACCTTTTAAATGCATTTTAAATCTTCATGCTTTGTATTTTCAAACTTTATTGTCTGTATTGAAATTCCATGGATTATGCAAAAGATGACTTCTCATTTCCATACGTACTAGGAAGCGTTAAATATTGATGATTCTTCAGTGTTCAAAAGAAAGGGAAATGCATCGCTTTAAAGAAAGAATATGAGTAATAAGCTTTGTAGCAGGAATTCTTAAAATTCTTTTGCTTGATTTGAAGATTTGAATTGCTATCTAAAATGTGTATTCAACATACTTGCATATTACAGATAATTACAGTCAGTTATGACCAAGTTAGAAAAAAGGAAGAAGAGCAGCAACAAAGATTCTTGAAAGAAAACCAAGGTCATCTAATGGCAATTTATGATAGGTACTTTTGGGAAATGAAACCGTCTGCTAAGGTTACCGGAAAAGAACAGCCTGTAAATACAAAAAGTATGTATCTAATAGAATATAATGACATCAGTATGATCGATTTTCTTCATATGAGGGAGTATTGTTATTCGGACCCTTTTATCGGAAGTACCTTGTGATAAAACGCTTGAAATACGATCAATATACTATTGAATTAAATTTTCAATATTGATCAATTTGGCTAATAAGAAATTGTGGCATTGAATAGGTTTTTCAAAAACCTTACCATAAATATCCTTCATAGCTAGTATCCCTATGCATTTACTTCAGCAAAAAAAGGTATTACCTTGATTTATGAGATATCCCTTATAAATTGCATAACTTATTCGTTTTTTATACGTCGTATAAAAACCTCTTTGTGGATTTTGTAAAACGCATATTGAATCAAGGGACGCAACGTTATTTAAAACAGTGTATATTTTGTTTGTTTAACACAAAGATAAACATATGCATATCTTGACTTTTCCCCCTACACAACGATTTGAAATTATTATAGCTTTTAATGGATTCGTTTCATATAAGAAAAACAAATTCATATCTTGTTTGATGAACGCAAATATAACCAAAATACATAGCAGAACTTACGAACAATTTCAGATAAGAAAGTCGAAGAGATGACGCCGATCCGAGTATGGCGACACGGAAGAGAACTTTTCGACACTAGCGGTTTCTTACGGTACGGGGTACGGTACAGAAATGGCCGTTTGGTTGTTCCCGTATCCGGGACTTATTTCATTTATTCATATGTTGATCTGTTCGAAGAATTTAATGACATTCCTGGAAAACCGAACATTAAAAACGCGACCAAACCTATTAAACATGCATTGTACAAATTCAATATCTTAGACGAAGCTGAAACCGAAATTGTTACGAATATACAGCCCCACGTTGTATCACGAAATAGGTATTACAATTCATACAGTAGCTTTGTATCTTCTCTTGTCAGTCTTAAAGCTGGGGATGAGATTTCTGTGAAGATTTCAGATATTTCATACATAAGATACACGAGGAACAACTACTTTGGCTTAAACCTTATTTAGATGTTTCACTTCTTTGGTTTAAACCAAATTGTGACATATCTTTTCTTTGGCTTAAACCTTGTTTATACCTCCCCTATATGGAGCGCGTCCTCGTCGCGGTGGAGGGGCAACAGCAATAACAAATTATAAGAAATCTCATCTTAACAACCGTAAGTCTGACTTGATTAATTCAAACTTAACTGAATTTACAGAATTGCAAAGTCCTAAAGTCGAAGGTACCTGTCGTCATAAGTCGTCCAACAAAAACATTAATTTATAAATGAATCATGATTTTCTATATTTGTACCTTTGTCTACATTAGACTCTGACAGACTCTTGTTCTAGATATTGTATTTGATTTTTATTGTACAACTGATGATGTTTGTGTAAAAGTCCATGTAATATTTCTTACTGTGATATTTTAATCATAACTCTACAAACTTAACACTGTCATTCTTAACTATTAAGAAAAAAGATAAATGGAATTTAAAGATAATAGCTAACTATTCCATAACAATACCGCACAATCAACATATCTATATGATATTTAATTCTTATCAATATTTGCTGGCTGAGACTCCATATATTACATCTTATTCTTTAAAGTCGAGTGCTTGTACGAGTTGGTCTAAAGTTTGTATTGATGTTTTGTGCAATTTGATTCTACAAAAATTTATACCATTATGAACATATCGTCAAAACATACATGAAATGTATTTGAAATGAAAGATATGGGCTAAGTGTTGTTAACTGTACATTTATGAATCATCTTTTACTGTTTCGTTTGATTAATAAATTACTTTTTACTATCAAAAAATGTAAAAATAATATATATTTCTTATAATATATACTTTGAATTAAAAAAATCATGTATAATGTATTTCTTCGTTTGTTTGCGTTGGAACTAAAAGCCTTGTTTTCAACTATGTCAGTGTATAAGTATAATAACAAGAAACAAAAATAATGAGAATGACACATGGAGAGGCTTTGAATTATACATGCCAATAGACAAACATAGAAAATTATAAAAACCTAATGTCTATCTGCCTTGAATCTTAGAAAAAGTTAAACTCAATATAGAATTTTTACACATTAATTTTCTCTTGGTAAAATTATGGTTTTCATTTCTGACATCGTGTAGGAATTTCAAACTGCAGGGTTCGTAGGGTTCTACTTATTTGTTCAAGTGTCATTACAATACAAGGTTTTCATAGAAGTTTACTAAAAATAAAAAAAGTGTCTATTCAACCCGAAAAAGAAAGTAAGTAAAACAACAGTTCTTTCCCTTTAAACCGACTTGTGAAGTTGCTGAATGCTCCAAATTTAAAATATTTGACAACAACCTGTCGACTTCGAGGAAGCATATATTATTAGAAATTGTTAAAGTATCAGAATTAAATTAAGAATACCACAGGTTAATTGACTATTGTACTTGCGATAATTGTTAAATTAATTTTAATGCCTAATTTTGGCCTGAATACGGGATAAAGTTTTTTTCAGAATGCTCGTACTTAGTCTTTTCCTACAAGTCGGAGAAAATTATGTTGAAATCCTTCTCGAAAATCATCTAAACGTTCAAAAGCTAAACACGAGTGATGTTCGCATAGTTTTCTGGAAACAGTTTTGAATTTTGAAGTCAGTATTTCTCATTAATAGAATATTAGATAAGTGGTCCCAGTCGGACACAATTTTGGCAATGCTCCTATTTGAACTAAGAATTTTTACAGCATTTTACTAAAGCATAGGTAATATATAATATATCTGTTAAAGGGTGTAAATCTATATCTTATGAAATATTTTTATAAAATCTATCAACAGTAAAATCTTATTGTTTCCATTATTATATGGTTGATTCCCGAAATAGTTGTAACATAGGATGTTTCTGTTATTTAATACACATGAATTATGTACGTAAACAGAATAAAAATTTCCGAAACAAAATATTATTTTGCTATTTTAAGTAGTGTTTATCCGTTCAGCAATGACTTTGTGCATGTGCCACTGCTTTAAGGCAATTTTTGACCATTTTCAATAAATACAAACATTTTGGAAGTATTCTTTTTTAAAATTCAAACAAAATTTAAAGCTATATAGCTTTATACATTTCACTTTAAAGTACAATGGAGTTTTGTGCATGGTATAATTTAAAAAAAAGGTTTGATAAAAACGAAATGGAAAGTTTTTATTAGCTAATTCAATGCGCGTGACCTAATGGTGGCAAGTATGAAAACAAAGAAGAAGGAATCGATGCAATTGAGTAAAAATTTTAAAATTAAGAAACATAAACTGCTCACAAATAGCATATTTCAGATTGAATGCAATGTTTAAACCTGTTTTGAATACATTTTTACCAAAAACAAGCAGCTAAACGTATGTTTACTCGTGGTAATTTTGAAAATTTCCGTGGCACAAAACATGTCGACCTCGCAATTTTAAGGTAAATGTTAATGTTTGGTAATTCATTTATTGTGAATAAAGACAGATGGCTCAATATTTTAACGGTTACTGAAAGATATATCTTTTGTGTTATGTTTGCACGTTTAAGTATGAAAATATGTCTTATATTTAAAAAAGGCGAGATGTAATTTTGACCGTGTCGGGTGAATTCGCTACGCCGAGTACCTTGTATATATTTTATATAGTAAACGGATCCTTGATATGAATTTTGTTCTTGATGATTAGGGGGTGATTATTTTATGATAATTTGATCATTATTGGCATGCAAAATATGTCGTACGCCTGTGATCCGAAAAACGTAGTTCAGTATTAAAAGTGAGCGGGATTATGATGACATTTAAACTACGCAGTGTTAAATTTTTTTCTAGCACTGGCAGTGGACACAGTAGATAGGTCTGTATTATATGCAAAAAATCTTTGATCCGATGTCAGATCCGATTTTTAAAAATATATTTATAATGTGATTTGTAATGTCATGATAATAATAAAAATAGAAATAAAAGTGTAAAAATAATAAAAGTGTATGCATTGTATCTTCTCATTTAAAAGAAAGTCCAGAAAAATAACTGTACAATGAATATTAAATCCTGTAAACGTCTTGTCTAGTTTTCTATCTGACCAAACTTTTTAATGAGACCAACCCGCTATTTAGACCAGATAAGCGAAGTCCATTCAGTGGTCTCATTAGCGAGTTTTTACTGTAAATATATTTGTTTTCTGAATTTGAAGATGGTTGGGTACTTTAAATTAAACAGAGAAAATATTGTGAAAGGAAAGACATTGCTCAGATCTGTCATGGAGACCTGATTTTGATTCATGTTACTGCGTGATCAGTATCACAATACTGAATAATCGGTTCGTTTAGTATATAATCGTGAAAGCCTTTAAACTATATAGTCACACTTGGGATATGTTGCCTGCTTTTTAAATTTGTCTTCTGACGTCTTGTCTGTGATATGCAGGCTTAATTTGAACACATCTGCGGATGTTCAATATTCAAATTTTACTATTTCATATTTAAATGTTGAATTCTGCTTAAGCCGGTGCTACAGGGCGTGGACTGTAGTATTGCACTTCACAGAACCGTCCATGAACAGCCTGCATCATTTTAAATTTTGTCGTTTTGGGCTTTCTCTAGGGATTCTTATTTTTTCTATTTTAATAACGTCAGAAAATTTCAAAATTTCATTTTGTTTAGTTCCGCCCATTGTTTTATCGTTTAGGGCACACTCGTTCTTTTACTTGGGGATCATACGTCGCTTTTCATGGAATGACACTAGTGTCACATTTAAGGTTCCATGATAACCGCCGTATGAACACATCTGTGGATGTTTTTAAATTCAAAATTTCACCATTTTTGTGTTGAAATGTTGAATTGTGCTTAAGCAGGTGTTAGGGGCGTGGACGACACCTTTTACTTTCCAGTACCGTCCATGAACGCCGAACCTACAATCATTTCACAATTTTGCCGTGTTGGCTTTCTTCAAAGGATTATGTTTTTCACTATTTCGATCATTTGGCTGTTGAAATCTGTTAAATGGGAAATAAATATGAAGATATCGGTATGAGTCAACCAAAAACATGCCAATATTGCTATCATCAATGAATAATGAATATTACAAGTGAAATAAAATCACAAACAAATTATCACAATTGTTTATCTTTATCAGTTTTAACATAGCGGTATCTTTGAAATTATATCACTTTTAATAAACTATAAAATTATTTGTTATATATTTTTCGTATTCGTTTAACAAACAACTTTGAAATTTTATAGTTTATAATAGTTAACTATACATTAGTGAATGTGGTGGTGAAGGTCATATTTTACATAGCCTAATTGTCATGACTACATCACAGTAAGACACTTTACTTTGTCAAAATCTAGGTCAGCTGATATTAAAGTTCACTTTACATCTTAATCAGTGCATATGGTTCAAAGTTCATAGCTGTACATCAAAGGACAAGAAAGTAAGTCACATCATCAAAATCTAGGTCACCTGATATCAAAGTTCAATTTTACAACTAAAACTGTGCACATGGTCAAAATTTCATTGCTGTACATCAAAGGACAAGAAAGTCGGTCACTGTCCCCTTGGGCAAGGCAAAATATTGACCCAAGGGTTTAATTCAAAGCAATCTTGATACCAGTCCACCAAACAACATTTCAAGTCAAATATCTAAGCTGTAGCTTTCTCCCATTCAGAAAATGTTTGTTTTATTTTCTGTTTTTACTATGTGTACATAATGAGAATCACTGCACCCGGGCAGGGTCAATTTTGACACCAGAGTAAAAATTTGAACAACTTTGGTAGAGGACCTATAGATGATATATTATAGCAAAAATCAAAGCTCTATGCCTTGTACCTTCAGACAAAAGGATTTTTTTTTTTTTACTATATGTACATAAAGAAAATCATTGACCCCGGGGCAGAACCAATTTTGACCCCAGGGCTATAATTTGAACAATCTTGGTTAAGGTTCACTTGCCAAAGTCTCATGCCATATATTTAACCTCTAGCATTTGTCAATTCAGAGAAGAAAATTGTTCAAGTTTTTACTTTAT